AAAATTTGATAGTCTGAGGACAGACACATTCAGAATGCTGTAGTTAAAGGGGCAGTACTTTCCAGGCATGTTGTGGCATGTTATAGCCCAACAAAATAACTGTTATTAAAAGCTTGTATTTACAAGAAAATTGATTTCGCAATTCCATGCAAAGTATTAATCACGCACTCATGAAAGATTCACAGGTATGTTTAATGAGGCAACAACATTATGACATGATGCAAAGCTCCAAAACATTTAACATAATTTCCACCCCATTTAAAAGTTCAAGTTATATGGATGTTTCTAATTCAGATCGGATCAGATTGTGAAAAGGATGAATCTGTAAACTGATTCAAAGACAAAAACTGTAGGAGGTAAATACATTAATAGACAAAATGTTTTACCAGATGTTGATGTATTATATTGACTCCTACATACATTTGTTTCTCTTTTCCCTTCTTTCTCGCTGAGAGTATGTCTCTTTGTTTGCTTTTGTGCTTCTCTGCTTTATTTATGGCCCTGAGCATGGACACTGTCTCCTGCCAGTGAGCGATCTGCTGTCATCCCACCTGCTCATCATTACTTTATCAACACTGCAGTGATCAAATCTTTTCTCTCCAAATTGTTCTGTCTTCCACTGCAGCAAGACACTCTGAGGTCAGCCAACCTGCTTTGATTAGGTCCCTGTTGTTTTTCCTCAGGTTGTCCTTCATAAGCCTGTCAATGTCAGTCAAACTCTTTACCATGTCATCCCTCATGATGTTCACTGCTGTCATTCTACTTCTAAGAACCATTCTGCCCACTCTCTATCTTTCCCACACTCTCACTTTGGCTCACTCATTTGTTGTTGTTGACTTGGTTTTATATCCCTCAAGCTTCTTTTACTTTCCACCTTTATAGGCCCTAAGTACTGTATTTGCTGTTAACATTTTAAAATATAATTTGGACTTTTTATTTGTATTACCATCAGTTGCAGTTTTCTACATCTACCTTTCTTGAGTCTTTTTGCTGTATTTCATTTGATCCACTTCTGGTTTATAAACAGAACAACTTTTTAAATACATATGTGTTGGATCATGGTACAACTTCTGAATGAGTTTTCCTGGACACCTCATTTGTACCTTTTGAGCTATAAAGGTTACACAACCTATCCTAAAATTAGCTCTTCTTTTCTTTAAATTGGCTTGAGATTATTTTTTTCAAGAATGTAAAGAGTACCAACTACACTTAAGGTAACTGCAGTACGTGTAGTACACTTAAAGTAACTCAAAGTGCTTCTTTCTTGGTACCTGTACGATTCAAACAGCTCGAGATTTGGAAAGTAGACGAAGGCAGACGGATCAGATGTCTGCCTTCGTTGACGGTTCAAGTTCCTTTGTCGTTGTTTTTAAAGGATCGACGCAAGTATCACATCATGCATCTCTGCAATATTCCACTCACATTTCACTTCATGTTAGTTAAATACTAAATGACTTTCTCTACATTACATTGATATATAAAATATTTACATATTTCATGTGAGCCCTCATGAACACAGACTGCCTGACATGTTCATGCAAAACAAGCCAAATAAAAACAATTTTCTGACTTGCATCTTCCATATAAAAGTCTTAAGTTGTGAAGTCCCTATCAAATTTGACACAAGGCAAAGTCACTTTGTTAAAAAACATTGATGCCACACACTACACCTATCAAACCAAAGTTTAGGCTAATAGTTTTTTTCTTTGTTCTTCTATTTGTTCATGAGATATTAGTGATGAGAATCTACTACAAGTCGGACATTTTTCCAAGCTTCTTCAAAGAACTGCCCATTTAAAATGGCTTACCTCTTGAGATTTTATTTCTTTTAAGGATATCTACAGTACCACAAATGCTTCAGCTAACTGCAGTACCTCTCAGAGGTTATCGTACTCGACCTGTTTTGGTAACTGCTCAGGACTTGGTTTTCCAATCACTATACTGCTGCAGAACACAGGACCACGTGGCCTAATGGACAAGGCGTCTGACTTCGGATCAGAAGATTGAGGGTTCGAGTCCCTTCGCGGTTGTGTTAAAAGGTGCAGTCCCAGAATTGACAACATGTATCCACATCAATCCTTGTCTATTTCAGTGAGGATTGTCAAGAAGCAAAGGCTTTTGTCACAATAAAAAGACTGGACACATTTCATATGATCCTACATCAATAGACTAACTCTTTTCAGGCAAGATTAGCCAACCCATCTAAGCCATACAGATAATACATCATTTTGGATCAGATCTAGGGGGAAGACCTGCAGCAGAAGAATGAAATTTCTCGCTTCCTAACTAATTTAAACGCAATATCACTGCCACAGTACAGAAAAAAGTATTAGTAAACTGATCCAGATCATTGATTTTAGGATTTTAAATCATTTCCATCCCCAAAGGTGGATAAAATCAAGCACTATAATATACATTTAGGAAAGAATCTTTCTCTTTTAGCAGCATGTACTCCAGCATGACACTGTAATGGAAAACCACCTTTTAAAATCCTGTCATGACACATGAAAAAACACCATTTGGGTGATTTAGATAATAGACTAGAACCTAGTGCTTCCAACATCAGTGTCTGATCTCACAATTATGATACTGAAGGAAGAATAAAAAATTCCGAACAATTTGAAAACATAACTCGTGGGAAGCCTTGAGAATAGTTTAAGCTGCAATAGCTGGGCAAATATCATATTGAACACTATGAGTTAAGAATGGCAAGTCAGTCAAATTTATACAATTTTGAGAGGAAATGAACTTTGCTAATGTATTAAACATAGCAAGGAAACCTCCTCAGCATTAGACATATATTACAGGTATCTGTATTTCATAGACAGAGATAATGCACCATGACAGTGACTGTAGGTTGATGATAACACTTTTGAATCTCTGCCTTCTACAATGTAGCACTAAACATAATGTATTGGAGCATAAAAGACCTGAATAGCTGAGAGTTTTGAAGTATTTTCAGTCATGTTAGTATATTAATACTTTAATTTGATGAGAAAAAACATACTAATTTTAGTTAATACTTTCCACATGTGCTTGAGAAAGAGTGATGTTTTGCTTTTACAGTCGAATGTCGAACAGAAAGACTGATTTGCAGCTATTGTGAAATGAAATGTAAAAACAAAACAAAAACATCAGAGAAGCTTCTCCAATGTTCTTAAGATTGTTTTAGCCACTACTTTTTTAAGTTGCTATTTTGACTTTGGTCTCATATGGAGAAATAGAAACATGTGCTTGCAAATCTGGAGGCTTGTAAAGTAGAAGTATATTTTCTGTGAGCTTATTTGCACAGGTTTCTGTACCAGCACAGTGAAACAAGTTTGTTTGGTATTCTTGCTCCTGGACACATAACATTTCCTGAAACTTGTTGCTGCATTTTTTGTTAGATTTTTAACTATGTCAAATGAAGTAGGTTCAAGTTTGGATAGGGGTTGTGATTTAGTTTCTTTTCATAATTTATTTATTGGTTAAGGCAGAGTAGAGAAGAAAGTGTGGACAATATAACAGCTCTAAAGGACAAGACAAATTGAAAGGAATAATTAATTGCTTTGTGAAATGGCATACTTAATACCTGCCTAAAAGTTATTATTTTCAAAAGGTATCTTGAAGACAAACAAACCTCATTGGAAGATGCATTCTAACTCACTGAACATGACTGATAAGTACATTTGTTGGGTGATCAAACATAGTGATTCCAAAAGTCAATAAAAATGGTATTGGCACTTTTGGCAGGAAGCACAGGTCCAAAGTCCTTCTTCAAGATTAAATCATCATCTCCTCATCTCCACAAAGCTTGCCACCAGAGGAAAACATGACCTGCTCAAAAATCTCCTGGGAAGATTTTTGATAATCTCTACAGTCCACATGTAGAGAATATCCCACAAACTCCTGAATGGGCTTGCTTAAAAACCCTCTGTAGAAATGTGATTGTACCTATTTATTATACAACGTTTGGAGCTATATGTCTTCCTTCCACACAATTTTCCATTCCTGGAAGGAGAACACTGTGAACCCCCACCTTCTTTCATAGTAATTTATTACAGTTTACCCACCTGGTGGGTGTCACTAGCTGCCTGCTGGTCTATCTTCAAGTCACCAGTCCAGCCTATATGGTTGGGTAGAACATAACATGGCCATAACATTCTCTGTGCTAACCATCCTTTTTAGTGTCATATGTAATCTAGTTATATGATTAATTAAAGCTGGGGGTTTTATTGGGTGTAAAAGAGTTTCACAGAGTGAAATCCACCTCCTGGTGATTTTCACTTGTTGAATTAAATTGCTGAAATAAATTACATTTCTGTATGTGTTGCTGAATTTTGTATGAACAAGCAAATAAAATACAAAATACAAATATTTAGATATTTTATGTATTTTTCTCTATATTTCCTGTACAATCGGAACACATAAAAAGTAATCATATTCCAGTTTTCTTATTTTGGGTCAAACAATACTATCACTTATTTCAGTGATCTCACTCATATCACTGAAATAAAATTACCGACATATTTACATACATTTAAATAAATAAAATAAAAAGATGAATTTTTTTGTTTGTTTGTTTTTTTTTAATTAATGATGCACATGTCACTGAGCCAACACGGGTGTTGTGGTTCCCAGTTCCCAGAATAGTTACTTTAAAAAATAAATAAATAAATAAAATTAAGTTATAAAAAAAAAAATTAAGAATATCAGGTCAGAAAAGTAGTCAGGTAGTGTGAATAATAGGAAATTACCTCCCGGTTGCTGTGAGTAAATACAGAACATCTAACATATCCTCCGCTCAGCAGTTGGACTGCAACAGAGCCTCGGATGAGCTTTGGTGCATGCAGACCATCACTGCTGTGCATTCTTTAGCCGGGGACTAATTTCCAGACCTCCACTTGGGTCTGGGTAAACAGCACCGCCCCGATGGTTGTTTGTTTTAAGTGTGGAACGATTCGTCGCACAGCGCCGGGCTCGATTGACACTGTCTGCTGATCTGCGACTGCGGATTGCTCAGAATAACAAGGCTGCTCGCTAATTCCCGTCTATCGGGGCTTTCGCCGAAGCACCGAGAGAGAGTAGGGTCCAGAAAAGAAAAAAAAAATCCAACAGGGCAGGCAAGACCGCCTCGCCGCCGTTGTCCGCACCCCAGAATGGCTTCGGGAGATCTTTACGAGGTAGGATAAAAGCCCGTCCACGGAACACGCTGTGTAATATTGACGAATTGTGGAATTAGGAAGTAAAGGGAAGGGCGTCACGTATGTTAAAAGCGGTGTCCTGAGCCCTTTAACAGGCGACACTAACCCTCTTCACGCTTTACAAACACGGGCTTGGCTTTATCAATGCTTCTACTTAAAGTCGCTCCTGATATACTTTAGCACGATTCTTGTCGGCTGTGGGAAATAGGATGTAATAGAGGGGCTTGAACTCCTCAGCGTGTCGCCGAGTTGAAAGTCGTGGTAAAGTGACAGCAGCAGCGCTGAGCGGACGGGCACCGTGACTGAGTGATGGGCTCTCAAGGTGCGCATTTAACACGCCAAAATACATTTTGTCACGGCTGTGTTTACTGGTTGGGGGAGTGCGTGGCGAGATCAAACGGAACAAGGCGGCGGTTTATATTTAGCGAGCGCTGAAAAAGTGCTTGGAGTGTGCCGCCTTGATGTGTGCATTTGCGAAACAGTGACTCGCGGCGTGGGGTGGAAAAGTTGCCCCCGAAATCGGAAGGTCACGCTGCCCCCTTCGTGCGCAGCAGCATCACTCTGGAAACGGTGCCAGAAAAATACCCAAAGTCCTGGCACTTTGGCCTCGTTACCCTGTCGTGGTGTCAGATGTTGCATTTCACAGAGATGGAGGTTTGATTGCAGATGACGTCCTTTTAAGACAAACATGCATGCCTTTCCCGTCGTTTATTAGCCTGTATGTGACGTGGTGCACATTGTTTAGACTTGACTCAAAAAGTCCAGCAGACAGCTGGGGTTCTCCCGATTCTCATGCAGATAATCTCTTAACTCTTTAGAAAATACTGCAGGATGAGTTAAGGACAATAAATGAAATTAAAAACATTAGGTTATTGTTTTAACCCTGCTGGGGTTTTTTTAAATGCCCATTTCAATGTGTTTCATGAATGAAACCGTGGAAAAATACCACTTTGATTGTTCTCAGTTCTGTGTACTTTGTTATCCACTTTTCATGTAGAGGAGATCAATTAAATTGTGGTCTTTTTTGTGACTAAATATTTGCATCAGTGATGTGAGCACTACCTTTACTAGAACTTTTATAGTTCTATCTATCAAATTTAGACAGCTTCCTGTGCAACAAACACTGGTTTTGATGGATTTTGAGAAGCAATGGGTATTGTTTCCATTAGCTGTGTGAAGTATGCTTTTTGTTTATCTGTTTTTAAATGTATGATTTAACCAAATGCATGATTTAATCAATGCACTCAAAACTAACTGAGGAAAGTTTGGTGTGAGTTGTTTCTGTTCCAATATGGGAACAAATCAGATGTTATTTAGAATGAGAATATTCTGGAAGTGTACAGGTAGAAGACATATGCTTTGCACAATAAACTAAAAGTATCTGGGTCACCAACACATATCATTTTCTAAATTTTACTTTTAGAGCTTATTTAAAATATATAATATGTAATATATCTAATATACTTTGGAATATGATAAAAATCCATATGTTTCTCACCCATTTCAGAAAGCAAAATTGAATTTATATAGATTAAGGACACAGAGTGAAATACGGTATGATCTAAAATACGGTAAACTGTCATTTCTTGTAACATTTATAATTATGGCTTACAATAAATGAAAACTCAAAATTCAGTGTCTTAGACAATTTAAATATAATTGAAATGAACGCAAATATTGAAATGAGTCACAAAAACATATATAACTAACTTACAGTATTAAAATTTTTTGAAGTGTGCCTGTATATTTAACTATGTAAAAATAACCTATTTAAGTTTATTTCCTACCTGTCTGTCTATTAGGGCTGTGTAATTTTATCGATTCTACAATATTTATCAATATTTTTTCCCTCAGAAAGTATTAATTTTTCATCCTCAAATATCGATACATTAAATCGTACTTTGAGTTTTATATCAAATCCACATGATTTAAATGACGGTTATCACACATGACATTTTTTATCCACTTGCACATGTACATTAACCTGTTACAATTAACTAAATAATGAATGAAATTGAAAAATCACTATCTAACATATGTGAATAAGGCAAAAAAAGGTTAGTTTTCTGTAAAACAAAGCCACACAATTAACATTTAAACAAAGCAAATGTATAACAAAAACATTTATTACACCAGTATTACACCATCAGGATTCAATTAATTCAATCCAACTCGATGGAACAGTCACAAAAGGTCACCAAAATCACTATGTCCATCTAAAATCTTTCAGAAAATCTGAAAAATGTATCGTATTGTACCATATCGAACCATATCATTTCCATAATATCGTGATATATATCATACCTTGAGCAAAATATTGTGCATCGCATTGTATTGGGATATTAGTGTATCGCTGCAGCCCTACTGTCTATCTAGTTTTATTCTGTGTCTCAGGTTACTGCTGATAACACAGAGGCATTTGAGGCCAGGTTTAAATGCTGTGCTCACAAACATTAGTTGCTTACTTTTCCTTTAAGCACTTCTGGGAGAAGCAGTTTTGAAAATTCCTTAAGGGTAACTTCCACTTTAGGCTAAAGATATTTTTTTCTTACACACAAGAATGTGCCCAAAAGCCTGTGGTGCTTGATATCTGTTTAAAGTTGTTTACTTTTATGGCTAGTAAAAGACAGTGTCCCTCCAACATGTTGATTTATTTTATTTATTTGTCTGGGAGTTTGTAATAATAATAACAATAGTTAATAATAACAATAAAATGAATCAGAAACAGCCACTGATTATTCCAGATTTAGACGAGTTCTTTGATTCAGGACCACACTTCTCCAAGTTTTACATCTTTCCTTCATTGAAGGCACCTGATTCAAATAAATGTGTCATTCAGAGGCTTGTGTGGGTCTTGTTAAGAGGCTGAATATATAATTGTTTCTCAGGTCCATTGGAGCACAGACATATAAAATGTGTACTTATATTAACCCTTTAGCAGTACTCACACACACTTTTTTAAATGCCAGTTTTAGCACTTAGCCAACTAATCCCACACTTAAATCTGGGTCAACAGCTGCACACCACCTCACACTTACTTCCTCTAATGCTGAATGTGCAAACCACCAGGTCAACTAGTTTCCCCTTGATATTCTTCTGAGATCAAATTAAAAAGTAGAGGTGATTGAGCATCCAGTGTGGCTGCCCCAAGATTGTAGCTCAAACTGCTCAAACCACAGAATGATTCAAAGATTCGCTAGATTATTTGGGATTTTTTATTTTTTTATTTTTACCTTTTCTTGAAAGTTGCATGAGATGCTAAATAGTTTTTAGAAATCATGTTTCTTTCACTACATGTTGCACTCAGCATGTGTTTTATTGTTTGCTGGGAACTAGCTGGCGATATGGTCTAAAATCAATTTGATAAACTTAGCAGTTCATCTTGATAACAGTGAATGGACTTTCATAAATTTTACTAACCTCTCCATCTCTTTCACTTCTTGCTACAACCTGGACGATCACATGACTCCAACCTACAGTCTGTACATTTTACCATCACAAGGAGTCATCACTTGTTTCATTAATATTACAGAGGAGCTTATCTGGTAATGGCAAGAATCAAATGAACATTAAAATGTATAATAATAGGTTAACATGCAATGATGCAAATGCATTTCCAAAAGCACTAAGCCAGTGGTGTCCATTTCCAGTTCTCAAGGGCCAGTTTCTTCCTCCAACAGAGTGGATTTAAATGGTTGAATTGGCTCATCAACTTGCCTTTAAGGGGCCTGGCAAAGAAACAATCTTTGATTCAGATGTGTTGAACCAGAGAAAATATCTAGATTACATTTGCCCCGAGGACTGACATTGAGCACCATTGCTGTAAGTCATTCATTTGAGACAGATCAGTGGCTGTTCATTTCTTCCTATAGTTGTGCTTAGAACCTCTTTACTTGTGTATTTGGCCCTACAATGCCAATTAAAAACATCCTTTAGCTTTGTCAATGGGTCTTTTCATCTTGATAACAATAAATTGACTTTAATACATTTTAATTTATGTAACTTAAGTTATATAATTGAACATTTTAAAGAAAGCATAATCATTTTTCAAAGTTTTCCACTGCTGAGCACTGTAGAACAAACTTGCCCCTTACTTGATATGTCACATTTCCAGTTGTCGCTGTAATTTTCCACCAGAATACATTTTGCTATAAAGTATCCCAGAACTTTGGGGGTAAAGGTGAAACCTAACTTTCCAAAAGTACTCCTGTGTTTGTGTTTGTTTTGTTTGTTCCACATGGTTAATCTGATGTTTTTAAAGTCTATTTGACTTTAAAAAATGCACATATACTCAGATGGCACTCATATATTTCATATTAATTTGACCTTTCAAGTCATCTGGCAGGCAAGGAAGGTGGAATATTTTGCACAAGGCCATCTTGAATTAATTGAACTTCTTATAGAGGATTGGTAAGCTTAAACTTTTGGTCAGTAACTGTCTTTTTTGACCTGTGTTGTTAAAACTGCATTAATAAGATGTAATCAGATGGATGCAACTTAAAGACTGAAGGAATTAAGATTGGCCAGGTTCTGAGAGAGACATTATGAAGACCCTGCATAAGACTTTGACTTGAACACTTTGTTGTCACTGTATGAAATTTGGAAAGAGTTCAATATTTGACTTGAGATGGTATATCCAAATTCCATACTGAGTGTCTCATGCTGATTTTTGTTTTCTATGTGGAGTACTCTACAAATGTCACTTAGGAATTTTTTAGCCCATTGTGAAGTGGCTGAAGAAAGCAAAACTTAATTCACAAAACATATGGAGAAAATATGAGATTTATTTTGTATTGTCCTTAAATAAAGCTATTGGAATACCAGCATGTCACGCCTTTTCGTAGAGCATAGTGCCATGGTGAGCATGATGTTCTGCTTGCTGCAAAAATGTGAAAATAATTTTAGATCAGCACCATAAATCAAATTCCAGCAGTCATAGCAGTATTAAAGTATGCAGTACTTCAAATGTAAATGACTGT